ATTCGATATACTATGGTTACAACATCTACTTGTTGAATTTTGTGTGGCCCAACCAAATCCCACGAAAGTCTCATGTGACAACTTCTAAGCAATGGCTATTGCCACGAATCCGGTGTTCCACGCTCGTACCAAGCATATCATCATTGATTATCACTTCATTCAAGATCAAATTCAATCCAGCTTTCTCCAAATTCACTGCATCAATACTCAAGGCCAACCAGTTGATATCTTTACTAAACCATTGCAAAAACGGAAGTTTAAGTTTCTGCAATCTGAGTTTCAGGTTTGCTCCAGAACCCATCAGCTTGAAGGGGGGTAATAACACAAGTGGAATATGCTACACTATAATATTCCTGCAATACAATATCATGGAAAGTAATGTAATTTCCTCTATCTAAAAGCTTCACCTACCCTCATATAATGGGTAAGGATTGTATCTAATAGGTTATTTGATGAAAAAAAAAACACCTTATCAGGTATTGCTCTTTCGGCTTTTCTCCTGCCTTTTTTCTTCTAGGATCAGATTCTCCAAAGATATCAAAGATGTGCATCAAATTTGCATGAAATTCTTTACATAACCTATATCTCATTCATGGTCCACCTATTCTTTTTCAAGGCCATGAACACTGGGAAAAAAAGAAACTTGATTTCTTAAGTTATCTTCTCCATCTGTTAATTAATGGAGAGGACATTAATTGATGACTTGGGTTTACCAGATTTACTCAAAAGTTTTTAAAAGCAAAAAAATGTTCACCTCGTTAGCTTGTGAGTGATCCAAAATTTAAACCGAGCATGTTATTTTGGTGAGTCCTTATGTCTCACTCTACATGGACAAAAAGAATATCTTTTAAACAGAAAGAAATGTAATTCCACTAGTAATCCACCATTGAATTTGCAATAAAAAATTATAAGCCTATTTGGGATCACTTTTGTTTTTAATTTTTTTTTTATTTTTAAAAATATGTTTATTTAGTGTCTTTTAGCTGCTTTTATTTTGAGGCAGCTACATGTATACCACTAGACTTTTATCTACTTAATGATACTTTAATGTCTCAATGACATCAAAATATATACATAAAAAGGTGCATTTACTTATAAAAAGGTGCATTTACTTGAGAAAAGTTAATATTGGTGGTATTTTTTATGCAATTTAAGGATTTGTATATTATATAAGTAAATATAAAGATTTTCGTATTAGAAGTATTAAATACAAAAAAGATCTGTGTTATGTAGGTAAATCCTCATTTTAGTTTTTACTTTTAAAAATATTGTTATTTAAAGAAAATTAAAAATAAATTTTAGATGATTTGAGTATTTTAAAGCAATTATCAACTTTAACCAACACCACTGTAGACACTAACGAACATTGACAGTCACCACCACTATTATCATCTTATCAGTAGTCTCCACAGCACCGCCGGTAACCGCCACCATCAACGCATAAATAAACAAAAACATTCTTATGATACTAAAAATATTTTATTTCATATCCAAATATAAATAATAATAAATTAAAAATAAAAAAACAAAAAATTTGATCCCAAATGGCCCCTAATGAATGATATGGATTCCAAATAGGCATCTCAGGGCCTTCATTTAATTTATTAGTAATGAATAAAAAAAATTGGAGAATTTTGATGGATAAAATAAAAAAATAATGTCACCATATTTTCCAAAGGAATTCATGATGCTTAAATTATTTAAGAAAGTACTAATCAAAAAGGTACAAAGGACTCCTCAAACATTAATATTTTTATAGGAAGTGAGATGAAGCTACGACTTTTTATGTCAAAGATCAACGGATAACAGATAGTGAGCTCATTAGAATGGCCTATAGATAAACATTACAAAGAGTTAATACCATAACAAGAGGAAATTATTGTTATTGCTAATCATACACCTAGCGACAAATTTAGGCACCAAACATGATGATTTTTCTCTTATGATTGTATGGTTAATAAATTATAGGAATAAACTCTCAAAAATGTCCCCGACTATATAAAATTGACCCAAAATGGTCCAGGAAGGACTATATTGAGATAGATTTTGCATGGTCAAAGAATTAAAATAGGATATATTGTTGTTTCATAATTTTTATAAGAGAAACCATTTTGAATCAATTGTCAGGTCAATGAATTTAATTAGAGAAACAATGCTCACTAAGTAAATCACCTAGAAATAGTCACAAGACTATTTTAAGATTTAATCTCAATTATGACAAAAATTTTGAATCATAATAATCAAGAAAAATCCATTCCTTCTCGAGACATGAAAATAAACTAAATCATAGAAAGATATTATCTTGAAAATTCATGATAAATACATCAATTTTTTTTCTAATTTGTAGTGTGAACAAATTAAATACTAGTGTAGCCGTTTGAAATTTAGATTATATTAGTCAACATATCAGGTGTAAGGTCTTGTAAGGATATGGCTCAATTAAGATGCTCAGTATAAGTAGTATACTAGTAGGGATTCTTATCCGTTGATTTAAACTTTCAGATTGATGTGCATTAATTTACTAATATTTTAGACACTAGAGCCTGTTATGTTTTTCACTCTTAGCAAGTGGCATCAAAATTGACTTGGATTAAATGATTCATGCCTTTGTAACTCCCATAAGGTTAGTGAGATTTATCATTGTCGAACAATGTTTAAGAGGAAGTGACTCTCATGCAAGCTCCATGTAGTTAAGCGAGCTTTAAGTGCGTAAAACTCGATTTTGTTTAACAAAAATTATTTTAAGGAGGGTGTAATGGCAGATCGCTGGGGGTGGGTAGAGTGGGAGGGAACTCTCATGAGAGGGGGAGATTATTAAGGTAAACATGTGAGGAACAACAAAGTGAAATAAGAGTCAAATTTTTAATATACTAGCAATATCCCCTATGACACACCAATGGTCCTTAATACTAAAATATAATGTATATTACATAAATAACTTAAGTTAAATCATACCAACTCTTTTATTTTAAAAAATATTATTTAAATAACTTAATAGCTACTTAATAATATAATTTTATTTTTCTCATTCTACTTTATTTTCTTATATTATTGTAATATTTTTTATTACAAAGAAATCAATTTTATTAATTTTATGCTAACAATCTATTATATCATGTTACTATTTCTTCTTGAAACGAATTTAAGGTATTTAATAAATTTAAATATATTTCATATTTTATGAGAAATTAAAACAAATTTATTATTATATGAATTCATTTCATTTTTATTTGCTTTGCTTAATTACTGTATATTTATTTTTTTAAATTATAAGATTGTAATGCCATATCCAATACATAAATTTATCATGTATTTTTAATACAATAATGTGCCATGCTTCTAAATCTTATTATCATTGTATCTCTAAGCCGATATCATCGCCTCATAAAGTGTCCCTACCTATTAGCTTGAGTTTTTTGGGTAGATGGGTGTTTATTTACTAATATATTAGGCCTTATTTAGACTATGGGTTTACCTCCCTCCTAACAAAAGGAATCTTAACAACCTACATTTGTTTTGTCTGCTGCAAAGAGAGAATATAAGATTTTACAAAATAGAGTATCTGATTTTTAGTTGTTGATGAATACAGCTCGGGAATTTAATTAATGTTGTTTTATTGCAGATTTGAGTTTGCAACAATATACTTCAGTAGTGTTCAAGATCTTGTCAAAATACCATATAACTTAAAATATTTTATACTATCAGAAATCTAAAAACCATTTATTAGAAAGAAAGTTAAACATGTGCTTAGAGTATTTACGCATCATTTAATGCGCTCAAAAGCTCAACATAATCATTCCAATTCATTAAGTCAAGCAATGCTAGGACTATATGTTTACAGCTGTATCCCTCAGGACTTGGGGTTCGGATTATGCGTTTTTGGCGTTTGTGATTTGGTGATCTATAATGCTTTTCTTAGGGTAGACAAATAAAATTTGATTTCAGGAGTGTCAGAGAGACCACCAAATCTTTCCAAACTTAATTTGGAAATTTTCCTTTTTCATAGGTACCCAAATCAAAAGGGTAGATGAACCGGTAAATATTCCAGATCAAGATGGCACTCAGTCAATCCCTTTTGTTCGAGGGCTTCAACAGTGAAGAAAAAAGAGAATAAAAGATTTTGGCAAAGATAAAAAAACATTTTTTTGGTGAGATAAAATTTATGTTTCTTACTTTTGTTGGCTACATCTTTCAATGATAATCATAAAAAAGGCTGCAATTCTAACAAGGAGTATGCTTTTTACAGCTGATATGATCATAATTAATGGGACTTTCACTTAAGTGTGTGTTGATTTTGAACAATGGCGGGCATGTTTAAAAGATAGAGCGTATAACTAAGAATGAGTATAATTTTAGTGGGTATGATGTTAACAATTATCATTCTATATTTTTAGAAAATAAGGCGACATATAAATGTGAAATGTGTAAGTATCCTGCATCTAATATGCAGAATAATGAAAGTATTAATGAGAATATAGCCTATAAAGTTAACCTCAAATATTTAAAATGGAGAAGTATATCAAGACTTTTGTGTAACAAAAAAAAAATCCATGCAAGCTTAAAGGTAAATTTTATTAAAAAAAATTACAATTGCTGTTGAATGATTAAAAAAAAAAGGTTAAATCTAAGGTTGCGCACATAGCAATTATTCAAAATGGTTTGCAAATAATAAGTTTAACACAACAATCGGCATAAATGAAAAAAAATAAATAAACATTCTTAAATTGACCACAAATACTTCGAACAAGGTTAATGATGACAATGATGATGAAGCTACCGTATATGTACGGTGAAACTAAATATGTGAAGTTACATGAAACTACTCATCTTAATTGTAAAACTTGATGGAATAACTGCCAAGGCATTTTGCCAAACAAGAAATCATAAATCAGCAGCCTTACAGATTTTTTTTAAAAAAAAATTTACTTGTCTGCCCAAGAGCTACAAAAAGTTTCATTTTAAAAGAAAAATTGCAAATGACAATTGAAAAATGTTGTTACCTCGACAAGATGTAAACCAACAGCTGACGCTGCACATGTTCTAGCAATACATCCAGTGTTCCCAGGAATCTGTCAAGGACAAAGGATAGCTCAATGCCACCTACAACATAACATTGTTGACACCTGCAATTACAAAGGAGGACAATGCAATTTGAACAATTTTTCATAAACCTGTGATTTATCATCCATGCATAAATCCACAAAAAAATTTACTTTTTATTGAATTCCACACTTATGCAAATATATACAGATATTTGTTGGGTCACTTTGAACTTACAAGATATGCTAATAATAACATATTTATTCACAATATTTACAAGAGAGCTTATTCACCAATGCAACATCACCCTTGCCCCCACTAGCCTTAACCAAGCAATTAGCGTTTGGCTTTACTCAATCCCATTCTCCATTCATTTGTGAAAAATGTTGCATGAGATGTTAACTTCTTTTCAGAATATATTACCTTCCACTAATCCATTTTCTTTATTAAACTCATATTAATTTTATTAATTTTCTTAGTGATAAATCTTCTACCATCAGTCATGCATCCAAACCATGAAAATCTATTCCACTACCTTATGTTCAATAGATGCTACTTCTACCATCACATTAAATAAAAATATTTTTAGATCTCTCTTTGCAAATTTAACCAAATATTCATTCAAAGTTCTCATTTCTACAAGCCAAACCTGTCTTTAGTGATTTCATTATCAGCCAATGCTTAGAACCTATACAAAATATTCTATATGAAATTATATAAATTTCCATTAAAGTCTCTATGATATCATGTTATTGTATAATAAATCCTATTTGTTGTTGTAAGTGCTAAAAATCAAGCGCATTACTGTAGCTGTGGAGAGCAAGCCTTTCGACACATCATAGAGCATGAATTGCATCGCTTTCCCAACCTTGTGCATATACCCTAAGATTGCTTCACAATTGTTAGTTTGATAGTTATTAAAAGGCCTTCGTGAGCCATAACTCATTTGTACCATATCTCGTGTCAACAATTTCTTCTTGCCTTAATATATTAATTAACATTAACATATCTTTGCCACACATTTTTTTCTAAGTTCTCACTCGATCACAAGCCTTCTCGTGGCTGGTAGAACCAGTGGGTGTTAGCTAGCTTAGTTGATAAAGATCTTGAAAGTTATTGCCAAAATTCTAGGATCAAACCTAAATCAAATTATGGCTTGATACTCAACATTCCCGAAAAAAATGATCAATTAAAACATCAAATATCTTTTAGTTTCTCAGTATATTTTTCAACTTTACATATTTCTCAAATTAATCAATTCGACTATCACTCACTTTCAAAACAAAGACAATGCATATGCAGCAAAAAAATTAAAAGAGATGGGATTTAAACTCATAAAACAATACATGCTTAAGAACAAGTGTTGATGCACAAATGAACAAGAACAAGATGCACGAATATTAACATAATAAGACCTTCACAATTTTTAAAATATTTTTGTTTTATATCACACTCAAAATATAGAAGATAACTGAAATGTGCAAAATATCAGTGGTTATTATCTTTAAATAAAACCTAAACATTGGAAGCACCAGATATAAACGAGAAAAATCCATATTTATATATTAACAGTCACTGTTATCATAACCTGAATATACAAGCCGACTACTGTCATTTCAATATGAATAAGACCATCGAGGAGAAGGCAATCATTTCAATATGAGAAACCTACTACTGTCAAGGCTAATCTAAATCAATGGGCAGATGGTGAATCAATGTAATCTAATAATTAACAAATATATGTCAAACAAATTGAATAGGCCCAAAAATGAATAACAAAGAATAGATAAGGAAATTTTAAGTTGGTAGACATTACCCAGAGAAACGTATCCGTGGCTACTATCATTCTTCACTTAACAATCTTATTATTTTCAACACTACACCTTAAATTAGACGGTGGAAGTCTAACATTCCAAATTTGATTCAGATATTTTTTAATGCAACGTTGAAAAGTCTTTTGATAAATATGTCGGTAAGTTGACTTCTCGTTGAAACAATAGATTGAAAACTATGTGAATTAATCCACTTTCAATTTTATTTTTTTTATAAAATGTTTATCCACTTACACGTATTTGGTTCGATCATATTGTACCGGATTGTGGGTAATATTGATGATAGGCTCATTGTCACAATATATTTTATATGTTCATTCTAATTAAAGTTATTTTTTACTTATTTAGGTTATCAAATTTCCTGCCAATAGTGTGTAATATTCTAAAATGTATCTCCTATCCATTGGTGATCTTACATAATCAGCATCAATATAGCCTTTAATGTGTAGGGTTTCATAACTTATTTAGAGAAAAACTTTTTAAGAATTTGATTTTAAATACCTGAGAACTCTATAAGCAGCTTGAAAGTAAAATTTCTTTTATTTGTGCATAAAGTGATTTATGAGACTAATAACAAAATTGAAGTCAAGATGAGTGTGAGATAGATAAATTAATTTCCCAACTAATATTTAATGTTGTCTAACAGAAGCTTCTATTCTTTCTTCATTTGCATCTAATTTCTGATCTAGCGAATTAGAGCTTCGTGAGTCTTGCAATGATTTTTTTTAAATTTCTCTCAAAAGATCCACAACATAATATTGTTGAGAGAAAAAAATTCCTAATTATAACAAAGTCGCTTTTCATACCAAGAAGACATTTGAGATTGTTGGGTTCTTTAATTTCAAATTCTACGACAAGTTTTTTTTTCCCTGAGTAATTCATTTCTTTAATTGTCATTATGACACATTATATAATTAACCACAAAATAAGATTAATAATTTTTATCAATAGAAAGTTTATAACTATTATGCACAAGCACTTCCAAGAAGTTATGTAGAGTCGGGCACGTATCGGACAGAACTCCAACATGTGTTGAACAAGGCATAGAAGGGTCCAATTTAAATCATATTAAAAAAAGAAAACACACAGAACATGCACGGGACATGCATGTTCTATATTAATGAATTAAATTTTTTTGAAAAATATTTTTATGACTATAAATAAAAAATATTTTTTGCGGAAAATTTAAGAAAGATTTAAATACATATTAATAAATTTTTATGTATTTACATATCTAAAACAAATTTCACTTTTTACATATATGTCGCCTTACATAAATATGAAAATGAGTATTTCACTTTTTAAAATTGAAAATAATGATATATTAGATGTGACATGAAAGATTTGGGTGGCATAAAGGAAAAGATCAAAATTTAGTCGTTAGATAAGTAAATACATGAGAAGTCGATACCAAAAAGTCAATGATCATTTATACTATTTTGAAATACAATTTAATTATGTTTAAAAATAAAATAAAATATATAAGAAACTATTTTAACTAAAATAGGAAACAATAGTGATGTCAAACGAACTCTTAGTGTTATTAAATTTCTTATTTTCTCTTTTGTATTATTCTTAATATTTTCTATATTTAATTTTATACATATTTTTTAATGTTTTTTTATTATAATGGTGTGTCTGACGTGTGTATGTGCCATAGATTTTCAATAATAGACGTGTCATGTGTCTATGTCGTGTCCCCGTGTTTGTGTCTGTGTTTGTGCAACATAGTGAGAGAATTAATTCATCAACTTGTTTGTATATCATTCAATAATAGCTTTATAAATCTATTAAATCATGCCTACTGGAAATGTTTAAGGCCATATGGTACATTTTTTTTAATTTGCCCATATTATTTTCTATAAAAAAGGTGTTGAATTTTGGTGGATGATCTATCTTTTTTTTCCTAGCATCCTCATATAAAAAAGACAACTTTACAACATATAATTATACGAACCATCCAAGGTTAGTAGCCAAAGAAATTATGATGCAAATAGTATTCATTTTAATAACAAGAACAAAATCTTTTTTTTAGTCTACTCCATATAATTGAGTGTAATAGTTTGCAACTAATCTTGTTTTAGACCGCTCAAAACTTTCATTTGTTTTATATTTTATTAAAAAGATTCAGTTACATCCTCTAATTATTTTTTCTTTTGAATAACTCAACAATCTTTCGGGTATAACTTTTTTAGGGCATTCATCTATCCCTACATGGCATCTTCTAAATCTTATTTTCTAATACATCGAATAGAATTTGAGAATTTTGATAGTGATAGAGCTAATATTTATAAGAAAATATTTGTGTACAAGAAATTTTTTGAATTATACATATTGGATTATAAAGTATAGAAGAAAATATGTTCATAAATTGATGATAGTTAGGAGAGTTACCTGACAAAACTTTCAAATCTTGAGCTTACTAAAGACTTTGGATGGGCTTAGCATTTTTGTGTATACCTAAAGAAATTTAGTGAAAAGAGCAATATATCTTGCATTTGTTTACTAGAATTCAACAGAGACAATATTAAATTCATCAAATATGTCTTCCATTTAGTTGTTCTTCCTGTTAAAACAAGTTTGACTGACTTAAATGAAAATTTTCTTTGTGATCAAATGATAACATGCATACCATTTTAAGTAAATTTCCTTCAAAAACATCTTTTGAGTGCCATAGGATTGAGTTTAACCTAGTGTTAATTGTGGATGTGAACATATGACACAACTGACAATTTGAGAGAAAATTTTGAGAAAAAAATTGTGTGTGAGACAAAAATTCCAGCAAGAAAATTCAGGAGACTTTGAAATTCATCACTCTTGAGTGTAATCTAGAAATGAGATATGTGAATATTAAGGCCAAATTTATGTGTTTTAAACTTCATTAATGAAAACTGATGGTTCTGCAGTACTATAAATTCCATTTCTCCTCTGTTTACCTCAACAGTTTTATTGAAGTTTGAGAAATGCAGCACTTGGATGGATGATTACAACGTGCTGGCAGTGGGAATTCGTATAGAGCAGAAGGTATCGTGGTAGGTGAGGAAGGATAAGACGAAAGGCCGTTTGGGGAGATTGTAGTAGAAGTAAACAGGTTCACCTATTGGAGAATTGTGCAAGTGGGAGAGCAGGTTGGGGAGTCCAGTGAGTTGTTGTTGGTTCAACCACAGAAAGGAAGTTGCTAAGCTGGGCTTGGAAGAATGGGTCGCCGGCCTTGGATCGGAGAGGGGAAGGTGGTTTTGTGTGGGTTTGCTGTCGGAGAGAGGCGAGAGTTGAGTTGATTTTGGGATGTTTACAGCTGGACGCCAATGAACAGTTAAGAAATGTGTGAGGAGGGAAAAGAGCAGGCGAGTGTTGTTCATCGACAAGACAAGTCACTGGTTGTGAGCTCAATGGTGGCAAGAAGTGCAGTGGCGGGAACTCAGTAAGAAAGAAGGTGGTTGTTGCCTCAGTTCGGATGAACGGAGCAAATTTAATATTTGTCTCACATTTTTAAACAATAGAATTTTAAGTTGATAGGCTCGTGGTAGACACACTTACAACGAAGTTCATTTGTCAAACGACGGATCTACATTCTCAAAACTATATATGCGACAAAACAGAGATCAAACGTGTGTTCAAACGAGCCCTAAGACAATTTCTCCCTCAATAATTTTTTATGAAATTAATTTTATAAGTGAAAAATTTTAGTAACTTTTGGGTAATGCCTATAGTTTTTTTCCCTATAATTCAATTTTAGTGTAGTGTGTCAATAAGAAAAACTGGGTCACCATTGTCTTCATTATAAGAAAAAAAATCATAATTCGCTGATTTTTGTACATCAACACTAAATTGATTTTATTATAAAGATAAATATTAAAAGAATATGATGTACATTGAATTTTTATTTCACAAGATAAATCTAGGTCATGCAAGTGCAATCATCAATAAATGCGACAAATTCTTTAGCTCTAAAAATACTATGAGTTTTTTAAGGTCCCAAAATGTCAGCATAAATTAACATGAAAATTGAAAGAAGTAGAGAATCTAGATTTACTTTCATGAAATGAAACTCTATGATGTTTCACAATTTTATAGGTCTCATAATAAAAATTTTTAATGCCAACATTTATAAAAAGAGAACGAAATATTTATCATAAGACTTTAAAGGAGGGAGGTCCTAGCCAATAATCATGGTCATAAATTAGAGTCTTTATTTAGAGTAGACATGAAGGAGCAAGATAAATGGTTACACTCTCCGAATAGGTATAGTCCTCTTTTTCTCAAGCTAGCACAATCATCTTTTTCATAGTTAGACTCTGAAATAAAAAATGATTAAAAAAAATGTCACCCTATAGTTATCGTATATATTAAGTTTACAAATAGACATAAGAATTATTTTTAGGATGGGAACAATAGCAAATTTTTTAGATGAATGCAAAAGTAATAGAAAAATTCTTTGACTTTCAATAGTGGTTATGAAGCATGGGCTACTTTTATATTTATATTGTTGAGAAAAGATTTGTAGATTTTAAAAATATTGGAAAGTTTGTCATTTGGTCAGAGGCTCCTTAATTTATAACTAATGTTTCATATTTTGGAGTGTCCAACATTAACATCCTCTTTCTATTTTCGATTTGTATGAGTATGAAAACCTCATTTAGAGATGATTGGTCTTTCGTGCCTAATATTTGAATAAAAATTTTGATCAAATTTATCATTAAATCCTGCAAAAGCCTCAAATATCATATACTATTTGAGAGCTGCATCATCATTATTGCAACTCATCTTGAGATCTTGATAACAATCAAGTTATTGTTAATAGGCATTTATTATATCGAAATAGTCAATGGCACGTAGATCATCTTTCTTGGTTGTTCAAAACTTCATCTTAATCGTATAGATAAGAGTGGCATCTTTAATTTTCAGTAAATTTGTTTCACAGCTTCTCAAATATCTATGCTTGTTAGGAACATATATAATCCATAATTCCAAGCATCATGATGTTTCATAAATATGACATAATCATGGAATATGCTTCATCCCAAAGTGCAAATAGTGAGTCTTTAGATCTGAAGGAGCAACAAGATGATGAATTTTGCTTTCGCCTTTCAAAATAATTTCCACAATTTAAGGCCATTTTAGACAGTTTCATCCATTCAAACAATTTGATATTTGTATCATCTGAAATTCTCCTTTAATATGTTTTTAGTCATTTTTGTTATTCGACAATTTGAAATGGCAATAAGAATATCACCATATATAAATAAGTAACTAAAAAACTTGCTTTGTTCATTCCCCTAATGGGTATTTATACATAAAAGCACTTTAAAAATAATTGAAGAACTAATACAACAACAACAACAACAAAGCCTTAATCCCACTACATGGGGTCGGCCACATGAACCATTTTTCTCCATTGTGTCTTATTTAGTGCATATTTTCATTTAGTTCTAATAAATTAAGATCATTTTTTATCAATAAGCCCAAGTCTTCCTAGGTCTACCTCTGCCTTTCTTAAATAATTGAAAAATTAATAATTAAAAATATTTTAAAAATTAAAACATATTCCCAAAACTCCGTATCTTGGTCAGTGAAATCAAGGAGCAATTCTTGGCATTCCCCTTTCCATGTTAAACAAATGAATTCATAACACTCCTTTCAGATAAAGCACATGAATCCATAGCACACTTTATTCCTTATTTAACACATGAATTTGTGCTCCTTTTATTCATTATTTGACAATCATGATATTTTCAACACACGCTTCCCACGAACTTAATTCTTGTATTTGTTTGAACTATAATAAGCTTTAGTTTTAAATGCCTTTCCAACAGCTTTAAATTGTTGTATCATTCTTACAATTTAAATTAATACTCTAATCCAGTATCCAAATTAATTATATGTTATTACATCAACATTGTATGTAAAATGCAAAAGTGAAATTAAATTTCCAAAATAGACACTTACTTTCTATCAAAAAAATGCTTGAACGTGGTTCTTAAAGTGAGTTATAATCAGTTATAAACACTTAATCAAAAGAAACTAGTCCCAAATTCAACAATATAGTCTTCATCTGGCACATAATGGCCAAAATTATATATATAAATTATTATAATACAGAGATAAAAATGTACGGTATATTGATGGATTGATTAAAATATGAGATGTTTGAGATCATATTTACCTGAGGAGAAACTAAAACCACTTGAAGAATTTTGTCGCATGAAGCCACACCATTAGACCCAGTGGTACCATTGGTTTGTGAACGCACTATAACTTCTATAGTCAAAAAAGAGGAATTAGAAACAACCGTCCTAAAATTATCAAGAAAGATGATGTATATGCAGAAACTGTAAAACTTATAGGAAATTTACATACATACCACACAATTCCTGAGTATTTACATATTTAACACCCAAAGTTTGTAACACCTTGGTGTCATCAACCTGTGCATGAAAAGGTGTATTTCACTTTAAAAAGAATAGTCATGGTGGTATTTTTTATGTAATGTTAAGAATTTGAGTTGTATGTATGTAAATATAAATGTTTAAGTGTTACGTAGATAACTATAAAAGAATTGTGTGGTATGTATGTAAATGCCCCTTAAATCCAATAACCAAACAAAAGGAGCAACTTTTATTGAGCAAGATAAAAAGTGTTATCCAACTGAATCCTCCTGGATTCTCTTTTTTTTTTTTTTTGGCAAACAAGAGCTCTAGTACAAACATAACTATCAATTAAGGTTAATGCTTATTTGATTTGTGTTCAATCCAAAGTCATCAACAGCTCAATCACGTCGCATCATCATCCCTGACAATCATCACCATTAGCAAGCTCATGCCATTGTTGGTCAGTGGGCCATCTTATTTCTTTTCCCTGTGCCGCAATAATTGGCCATACTAATGTGGATAACATGTGCATTGCTAACAAGATAAATCTGGCTAAGTTCATTAAGCTTGAAACCTAGCCAAACGGTGATCTCTTTGTATAACCTCAACAGCGGAGTTGGGTAAGTCTCTCTTTTTCTTTTTTAGGTAGATTGCAACCCAAATATTCATTCTTGGGTTATCCAAAACCCCATGATTTATCCCAAGATTGTGAACAACCAGACATTTTATTCATAATGTTCGAGAAAACAAAGCATCGATGTTAAAAAACCAAACAATTAATGTCTAAGGGATCATTTGGGATCACTTTTATATTTTGTTTTTTTTTTATATATATTTTTTGTTTTGTTTGTTTTACTTTGAAATAAAACATGTTTGTAACTGTTGATTGTTTTTAAAAACAGTCAAAACATATAAATATTATTTTTTGAGTATTTTTAAAAATAATTTAATTTATTTTTAAAAATTAAAAGTAAAAATACTTAAAAATTGCACCAAATAAAAGCAAAAATTAAAACTAAAAATGTCACAAACAAGCCCTAAGTTAAAGAAGTTCCGGCAATAGTGTGTTTGGTAGCATATTTTAATAGGATTTATCACCGGATTTATTAAATATGGCCGAGCGCTAAAATGCGGGAGTTCCATGTATTTATAAGTTTTAGGATTTAGGGTCCCAATTTATACCTTAGATTCAGCTTAAATCAGGATTTACTAAATCTAGGGGTAGGGAGGATTTAACAGATTTACGATTTACTGATTTACTAAATCCTACTAACACTAAATTCTACTTGCAGCCAAACACCCCCTTATATTTTCCCAAATATATACCTTTACTCCGGGTTGCTTGAATCTCAGAAAGGACTGCAGCCAGAGCCGGTGTTCAGAATAGTAGATTTAAGCTCATTTATACATATGCATGGATACAAAAAAAATCTAATCACGCAGCTATGCATAAGTATATAGCAGCCAAGTAAGATTGTAATCAGGCATAGATACAATGGAAGCCATTTACCGCAAAAAAAACAGACTAATACGCCTGATTTTTATCTACTCTAGCAGCTTTTTATCCAAACCAAAGCTCCTAATTTACAAAAATGGTGAAACTTCGGAAAATTTAGTTATAAAAACAGCAAGAGCACGTACTATAGCCTACTTTTAAACAAATTTCTCGTATGCTTTATCCAGATGCAAGGCTGTAGACTTTCATCTGCAACTCCAAATAAATCTTCCAAAAAACCTAAGTGGCTACGTTGTTCAAGTATAACCCAATTCATAAAAGCTTAAATCGCGAATGAGATGAATGAGAGAAAAAAAATCGAGCTTGAACTCACGACTACATGAGTTTTTTGGAGGCGGCGGATAAAACTTTCTCATGAAGTTGAGATTTGCGAGAAAAGCGGGACGAAGAAGAGGGCGTGGGCTGAAAGATATGGAACAGAACTTCAGATTTTGGGCTCGAAGAATGCTCGCATCCATGCCTCACCCACACCGTCGCCTCAAAATCTTTCTCCTCTGTTTGTCTCTCTCTATGGAGCGTAGAACGACGGGAGAGGAGGAAGCCGACCATGTGCGGCGGCATATATGATAAGAAGAGAGAATATCACTCACACAGATACAACTCTGATCAGGCTAATGTGTCAAAATATTTAAATTTTAATAAATATACTTTTTTGTATTGATAAATACTTAAATCTTTGATATTATATAAAAAAAATTATTATCATATACATCTTTTAATTAAAATATAACTTTTATGATAAAATTTGGTATGATTGTTAGATTCAAATATTATAGATATAAATATCAAACTTCAAATTTAGCATTAGATATGTAAATACATAAAAATGATTATAATTTTATTATAATAATTGTAAGGTTTATATATATTTATATATTTACATATGTATATATGTGTTTCAATATATATATATATATATATATATATCATCAAAAATATTTGAAAATAAGGGTATGTTGTTAGCCTTTAAAGACTTTTCCATTAATAATAATGATATTACTCATATTGGGGAAATGATGTGGCTTATCATTACATTATCCTTTTTTCCTCATTATACTAGTTATTACTTTTATTATTCAGTAGAGTGCATCCTTGCCTTTTAATACATACTTTAGTGGATCCAATATTAGAGGATACATCATATATATGGTAAATGTATATGTAAGTGGGAAGCTGAATTTTGCTATCACTAAAAAAAATATTTTTTTGTTTTCTGCTTTTCTTAGTGTTGTTTCCTTTTTGTTTTGTTTCAACTTCCCCACTGTAGTGATATTAGAGTTCTTCAGTTGGGCATATGGCGGAAGTAATCAAATATACGATTGTACTCAATGTCGATCGAATCCTATAATCTTATTATTGCACAGAACATAGACAAGCTCAATGTTGAGTTTGTTCGATGCTATGTGAAAATTTGTGGAGAATTGCAATGGTTTAGAGCGAAACCTCATGTCCTAGCTACTCGCAAACAAATTGGTGCCATTGGCAACCATACGTGCACCCCAGGTGAGATTTCTTGAATTGAGAAAACGAGGATGGAAATTGATGGATAATCCATGCGACTCAGTTTCTGATGTTGAAATTAAGGTGAAAAGGAAGTTTGATTTATCTAATTTTGAGGAAGACGAACATTATCGAACAAAATCCAAAATATCAAAGGTATGTCAACCGAGAATGGGACTATGGAGAATTGTGTGTTAAAATGGACATCCCTTTTATTCAAGCACATTTTCATATCGAGGAGTATTTCATTTGAGAACAATCGATTGAGACATTCTTCAAGCGTACAGAGATTCCTCTGAGAAAGTAAGAAAAGTATGTTGTGTGTCAATTCAAATGGGGAGCCTCGAGATGGTGGCTGCAATTGTTGCATAGTAGAAATAGAGAATGGAAGGGTTAAGTTCTTAATTAATTTTGAACGAAACAATTTTTGCAAAGCCATTTCTTGCCAACATAGTTTGAACATATGTTTTATATGTAGTATCAACATTTCTCATATGGAATGAAATCAAATTTATAAAATGAGTGTTAGGAACAATCAATTCGTAGCAAGGTATATTTGGTGTGTTGAGGGATATTATTCAAGATAAATTGAAATCGAAGCCGATTCGTCCCTCTCCCTGGAAGTGAACCTATCATATAAGGCAGAGTTACAAATTGATTGTCACGATAAAAGAAATTCATGAAATAATAGCAAAGCAGCAAATTGTGCTACCAAGATGAACTCCCTTCAGTACCAAATGAATCTTGCACTTAAAACGAGCACAACTGTGGATAGCAAGGTTCGAGCTGAAAGGTAAAGGACTTACTAGAGAAATCCCTCAAGTGAGGCCCTCTAATTTGAAGTGTTTTTGATGATTTCAACTGAGACACAAATCGAAGGAATGCCCATCAAGATAACAAGGGCAACTTTTAGAAGGTGAAATTGATGATGTCCCCTAAGTTTCAATTGAAGCAAATATGATGAAGTTGAAGAAGTATTGGGTGATAAAGTAGAGTATTTAGTTTGCATTTTTTAAAAGTTATTAATAGCCCACGATAACTTGCTACCTCCCAGTGCCATGTTTTCGAACCTTGTGTACCATAAATGGAATGGTTTGTAATTAGCTCATTGATAGTGGGTGCATTGAAAATGTTATTTTCAAATCTATAGTTCAAGCTTTACGCTATAAATTCACTAAGCCTCCTCACCAATACAAAATAAGTTGGGTAAGAAAGGGCATTGATAGATTAGCAATGAATATCTGTCAACTTACTAGGTTACTTTTTCAATTTAGAAGAATTACAGATGCATGAATTTTTGTCATCTTATACTAAGCATACCATGACCGTTTGATATGGGCGCACCTTATGATTATTATCAAAATATCTCTTGCTTAGAGTAGAAAGGTAAGAAGCTCAACTATATTCTTGCAATGCAAACAAACCCTATTAACCCAACGCATAACAAGGTTGATTTCCAGTTAATTAATAGCATAGAGTCCTTTAATATTTGAATAAAACTGGTTGACTTGTATGACTCGGTATTCTTTAAAGGTAATGGGTTCTTGCCACCTTACATGTTGAAATTCAATAACTTGTTCATAAGTTGAGTGATATCAGCCCAACCAAACTCGCACCTAGGCTACCACCATTGCGAACAATTCAACATTCAATCAATTTTTCTCATTGTTCTAGTTCTTCAAACCTACCTTCGTACATAATGAGCCCAAAAAAGCATCAGGCTTTACATGAAATGGTAAAAGAATTACAAGGAATTACTATAGAAAAATTTGATTCAACACAACTTGAGCCCATGCACTTTTTAAGTTAAAAAAAATGGTATCAAGTGTATGTTGTTGGATAGTAGAGTAATCAACAATATCACTATTAAATACCATTTTCCTATGACATAACATGAAAAAATGTTTGATAAGCTAGCTGGTTCAACGTAATTATTTTGGTTAGGTTAACACGACGGCTATCATCAAACCCATATACGATCGAGTAATTGATGGAAGATTGTTTTTAAATTATGTGAAGGGATGTACAAGAGTAAGCTTATGTCATTGACTTGTGTAATGAATCTAGTACTTTCAAGAGGCCCATACACGTTATTTAACTATTTTTTAGGCATTTCTGTGTAGTTTATTTTGATAACATATTGATTTATAACACTTCATTTCAGGAGCATCCACAACATTTGAATAAGAATGTTTAGGCCCTTCTCACCCATAATTTTATCTCAACATACTAAAATGTGAGATTACAACCCCTTGTGTGCATTTTTTTTGTTTCATGGTGTTATGTAAAGAGTATTCAAGCAGATCTTCAGAAGATTTAAACCATTCAATATTGGCTAACACCAACTTTCATCATAAAGATATGATGTGTTCTTGGGTTTGTCAATTTCTATCTTCGATTTATATGAGGATTCAACTTGATCTTGACCCCTATTATTGAATGCATTAATTATAGAACTTTTTCTTGGTTCACTGAACAATAGCATAATTTTGAAACCATCAAAATTGCACTTAGCTTGACCTTAGTGTTAGCTCTTCCTATCTCAACAACCATTTAACGTGAACATGGATGCTTCATCAATTAGAATTGAGGTGGTTCTTTCACAAGAGTATATACCTATTGAATACTTAAGCACAAAACTATGTGCAACCAAAATTATTCAAGTGGGATGAGGGATTTCATGAGTGCTCTCATGAGCTTTTCCCCCCCCCCCCCCCCAATTAGAGTGGGGTCCACTTCTTAGTTTAGGTCTATAAGTATGTTGATTTCATATTCTATGTTAGATTTTTCACCAGTTTTATGTCAAGACAGCCGTCAAAATCTTCAAATGTTCCTTTATAAGATTGTATCCAAGGGCGAGTGGTGCTATGACCATATCTCGTACTGAGGTGGTGATTATCCTCCAAGGGTTGAATGGTGTTCCAACTGCATCTTGCTCCCAAGCTGGTATATATCATTGACTTTCCAACTCTCCACGCTCCTGCATTCCAACCAGTCGCCTTCTCAAAAACCCCAAATTCCACTTCTCCTTACTACAAGCATCAATAAATCAGCTTCTTCCTTGCTTCCCGATACACCAAAATAATTTGTTATTTTAAGTATATATCTTATGCTTATTTTTTGTGATATTGTATTTTAAAGAAGGGTATTTTCATTTTTTTATTACTGGTGTATCAATTTTAGGCATTTGAAGAAAAATTAGTAAGAAAGAAGGAAATTTGGAGTCAAAATAGAGAACTTTGTGATTCAGGCGCCTGAAGCGTCATTTTCCAAAGAGTTGGTGCCTGAAGCGCCATTATACAGAGAAGTGGTGCCTGAAGCATCAAAACCCAGAACTGCGCGGACTTAAGTAACTTGGCACCCGAAGCGCAAGAACTGGTGCCTGAAGCGCTAGAGACGATATTTGATGGATTAAGGCAGTTCAGAACAAATTTTAAACAGATTTTGAAGGCTTCAAATGTTTTAAACGCCATTTGTTTAAAACGCCAATGGAGTGATTCAATGCATCTAAACACTTTGGAAGACTCTTTACTGAAGGGATATGTCTCTTAAATGAATTGACATGTCTCTTGAGATTCAAAAGGTGTGACTTTTGGAGAGAATTTGAGAGGGAATTTTGAATTCTTTTTTAGAGGAGGTAGCGACTAATTAAAAAGAGAGGAGTCTAGGGCTGAAGTGTGGTTTGATAGAGAGAGAGAGCGAGAGAGTTTGGTGGTGGCGTGAGAGAGAGTGAGGGACTTGGAGATTTTTTTTGGATTGTAAGAGAAGAGGGAAAATGAGAGATTTCTTCTTCATTACACTTCTAAGAGAGAATTGAGAGTGCTTTTAAAGAGGGAAAGTGCTTAAAAAGAACTTCTAGGGAATTGTTTGGAAAGAAGTGTGAGATAAGTTGTCTTTTATTTATTTGTTTTGTAAACTTATTTTTATATATGAAATACGTGTTTTGTTGTTTTCTTCTTATGAATTTTGAGTATTCTTCTTTATTCTTCTCCCTAATCTTAGATATGGTTTTGTGAAGAATTGATTTTATTTTATATGATATATGATTTTATTTGTTTTATATGATTTTAATTGTCAATAATTTGTGATGATTTAAA